CACTTCCATCGTCCGTGCAATTGCAAATATCATTTGTGCTGTTGTTTTTGGTCATTGTTTCTCCAGCGAGGATGAATCTTTCAGCAAACTCATCAAAGCTATTTATTCTGTGATCTACTTTCAAGGTACTATCTGGGGCAGGGTAAGAGCCTACTTTTTTTGTTCCTTAAGGTGCATTTTACAAGTCAAAAGAAATTAAAAGTCAGAGACAATTATTCACAAACATTTTCATTTCCAAATATACCATTGTTCTACAAGCCACAGTGAAGTAATAAATCAATACATACTTGGTATATGTAATTATTGGCTTCTAATTCTTCTTCATGTCTGTAAATCACATCCTAAAATTAAAATTCTAGATCATCGCTGCTTTTCCCAGACTTCCAATGAGCAATTATTCGCAGAATACTGTGTATTTAAAATTCTTAGTTCTTAAAATGAAAGCAGCTTCTAAAATTTCACCTTCATTTAGTCTTGCAAATCTAAAAAGGCAGTTAATAAGAACCAAATCTTAAAATTGCTGCTCTTTTGAAAAGAAATCTTGTTCCAATTCATATTACCATCAAGATCTCAGTTATTCTGAGCTTTCTGTAGAAAGATACAGGTTACAACTTCATCACACCAAGAAGAATATTTTTTAAGTTCTTGAAACCCTAGCTATTGTTTAACTTGTGCAGATTTTGGCACACTGGCATTGCAAGAGACTATCAGGTTCTTCATAAAGGGATGCCTAAAAAAACCAAAAAAATTACAGCAAAAAAGTCAAGGTTGAGAAAAATCTGTTTGTGAGTCAGATTCAGCACTCAATTACTCATGCATTTTCAGAACCCCTGTTACATTATTAAGTATTGATCCAAAAAGTAAAATATAATCATGATCCCAGTATTTCACCTCTCTTACTTGTGTCTGTTGCCTCTCATCCCAATTAGGTTGCCCACGTGTTGTGGTGACTTGACAGTAATCAGGAAATCAGAGCTGGGATCTGACCCTCTTTGTTTAACTCCACAGCTGTACGATGCTTTCCCATGGCTCATGCACCATCTCCCAGGGCCTCATCAGGAGGTGTTTGCATACAACGACTTCATGCACAGATTAGTCATGGAGGAGGTTCAGGCTCATGAGAGACAGAACACAGGTGATCCACAGGACCTCATTGACTTTTACCTGGCTCAAATAACAAAAGTAAGCATCTGTTTATCACACTCTCCCCTCCTTGGCTTCAATGCCTATTACAAACACTTGCTGTTCCAATAAGTGACAAAGGATTTTTACATGCACACTCTATTTGTGCAGCACTGAAGGTGTTTGATTTGATGGGCTGCATACTGTTATCAAACAATGACAGTTTCTATGTGACTGGTGAAATATCTGAAATTTCTATTTCATAGTCTTCTTGTGAATATGCCCTACAGACCAAGGATGACCCTACTTCTACATTCAATAAAGAAAATATGGTTCAGACCGTGGTTGATCTTTTGCTGGGAGGGACAGAAACAACAAGCACCACCCTTCTTTGGGCACTGCTCTACATGGTACAATACCCAGAAATACAAGGTGAGCAAATGCACTACCAGAGAGAGCTGCATTCAACACCACAATGAACATCATTAGTGTAAGTATTAGCTCAATCACTTGTAAGACATCAAAAAAACCTCAGCTGTGCACATGAATGGTGGTATATCAGCAACTGAGATCAAGAAAATGGAAGGTCAATAAATGAAACAAACAGGTGCTTCCCCATCTGGTTCATCAGCAACACTAGCAGAAATTAGCAGTAGCCACAGTTTTACCTCACTAGAAGGGATTGGCGAGATAGAATAACAAGTTAAAGACATTTCATATGCAACGTAGTCTCCTCCTAACCTTCTAAGTAGAAAAGTTTTAAAATATGCCTGATCTGATACATATTTATAAACAATGGAAATTATACCTGTCATTTCAAATTTTAATCCATTTTTTGAAACACAGAATTGTACTATCCTCATCACCAAGTAGGTGTCTTAAATGAGACACCATCCTGTGATTCAGGGAGATGCACTTCCTTGATCAACAGAAACCTACACAGCAGTCAAACCACATGCCAACCATCTCATAGCAACATAAATTCTTTTATTTCTTCAGACAGAACATTCTCACACAAAAATCTGCTGGAAATAAAGGAGGGAAGGAGGGGGAGTGCAGAAATGGGAAATGAGAGTATTTTCATGTGTCTGCAGAAAAGGTTCAGAGAGAGATAGAGGCTGTTCTGGAACCCTCCCATGTCATCAGCTATGAGGACCGTAAGAAGCTGCCCTACACAAACGCTGTGATCCACGAGGCTTTGCGCTACAGCAACGTCACCTCTGTCGGGGTCCCTCGACAGTGCCTGAGGAGCACAACTCTGCTGGGGTTTCACATTAAAAAGGTACAGAGGATACCCCCCTCTTTCTTACATCTTTGAGCTGTTAATATTTGCCATTTATACAGCACAGAGAGAAGGAAAATCTACAGAAAATAAGATCTCTGCTGCTTCCTGCAGGGCACGCTTGTGTTGCCAAATCTGCACTCTGTGGTGTATGACACTGAGCACTGGGCAACCCCTTGGAAGTTCAACCCAGATCATTTCCTAGATTTGGATGGCAACTTTGTGAACAAAGAGGCATTCTTACCTTTCTCAGCAGGTAACACCCTGACCTTGAATATTCCTGCTTACTCTATTTTGCAGCAAGAGTAAAAATACTATTTCTAAGATCTAAAATATTAAAAATATACATTTATAAAAATATATTTGACTAGATTGACTATTTGACTGATTTGAAAGATCTAAAGTCAGGTCTTTTGCTGTAAGAGCCACAAATATTGTGCATTTTGTATTTTTCATATATTCAAACAGAGGATAAGTATGGCTGGGAGACACAATGCTCCTTGGCACAATGCCAATGTTCCTTGGCATATGCAGGGTTCCTACCATAAGGATATCTGAGCTTCTTATCTCCTAATGTGTTAAATCAAGGCAATTCTCTGTTAAATCAATGTAATTCTCCTAAGTCAGGAAATTTATTTATTTTCACCTTACAAAAAGGAAGGCCAGTGACAAAAGAAACAGGATTTTTCAAAACATACAGAGAAAATCTGTGAAGAAGTAGGAAACCAAACCTCAGTCTCCCAAATCCTACATTAATAGTCTAGCACCATGTTTTTGCGTATCTGTAGAAAATTAGCAAAATCCAGTAGATTTTGTAGGTTTTCAGTAGAATTCTATTAGGTAACTAAAAAAATTTAACTTTTCAAAAGCATATTCCAATGTACGACTTAACTAACTTACAGTGCAAAATGCAGGGATTCAAAGATATGGAGGGGGAAAAAAGAGGGGGGGAAAGAGTGAAAAGCACTATAAAACAACTCTAGTGAGTTTCTCTATTCTACCAGTTTCTCCAACAAACTGATTATGAAAACCAGCAGCACAAAAGAGGAAAGTGGTATCATTACTAAAAATTCACAATAAAACCACTGGGAAACAGCTGAGGGGTTTTTTTTTTGTGTTACTGTGACATTATACTACTACACACTTCTTGTAGAGAAATAGCAAAGAGCATACTGAGCAACACATGGTCAGGTTAAATGCAGTAAACCCAGATTTTTTTTTAATTGCCTATATTGTCTGTAAATCCTAAAATCATCTTTGCAAAACAGGTACTTATCATCTTACCTTCTTCACTCACCAAATGGCTATGAATTGAGACAACTAATTTGGGCTCCCATTTCAACTGTGACATAGGACTATTTCTTTAACTTGTTCTGGTTGTTTTCTGTTTATGTAATCTGAGTATTTATATATCCTGAATACCTATCTTTGGGGGTTTTAGCCTGGAATATATGGATATCCTGAAATATTCTGTGTAAACAATATGCCAAAATGAGTCACTGAGTCTATACATCACTGCACATTTCACTCCCTTACCTCTGACAGTGTTAGGGCTACAAGGACCCAATATACCCTTCTGAATTTCTGTTAAAGAAATACTGATTACAGCCTTCTCCTTGGCTTCAGAACTGCATCCCACGATGCTCCAGCCCTCCCTTCTTAACAACAAAATAAGGCTCTGAAATATACGAATCTTTTTAAAATTGGGGTTAGCTAAGAAGCAATTCATGGCTCTCACAAAAAGAATTAACAATGGAAAGGGAGAATTGCATACATGCTCCAGGGGTGAAAAAAGATTAAACAAACCCAATCAAAACACCAAATCAAACACTTGACAGAGGTGCACAGTTTCTCAGTTAAATGTTTCCACACTCTCCTCCTAAAGCGTCTTCTGTTCTTACAGAAGGAAATAGGAGATAATTATCTTACATTAATAGAATTTATGGAACTCAGCAGAATTTTGTGCAAAATTCTTTTACAGAATTTAACTTTACTCAGCCAACTCTTTTGATTTTCCTCTGTAGGGCACCGTGTATGTTTGGGGGAACGGATGGCACGAGTTGAACTGTTCATCTTCTTTACCAATCTCCTTCGGGCCTTTACATTCCAGCTCCCTGAGGGGGTGAAGGAAATCAGTCTGGAGTACATTTTGGGTGCAATACTGCAGCCACATCCATATAAACTCTGTGCTGTTCCACACTAGTCTGCAATACACTAAAATGCTGAGAGCTTCAACCTGTTAGTAAGTGCAGATCCTTTAAAAACACGCTTCACTATCTCAATTCTCATCTACTGAACTTTCTGAAATGAAAGTCTACTTGCAAAACTCACATAATTGAGTCTTAGGTATACACAAACACACAGTATTTCCAAATAAATGTATTTTCACACTCACAGTAGCATTGAATTAGCTGTAGGATGCTAGAGAAATGGCCTGTATCAAGTAGTTTCCTGCATGTGTGCTCTGTCAGGTATCACACTCTTAAAATGGGACAACTGTTCATTTAGGATGCTTGAGTAAAATCTGCTGTTCCTCTTCTGAGTACACAGGTCTTTTCTTAGCTCTTCTTGCAGGAGGTAACAGAGCATACACACACTTAGTGTTGATTCCTTTGCCTTTCACTCTCCCACAAAGCATTATATAGTGTAGCATAAACTTCACTCACACAAAAATGATTGTAGTAGGGGGCCTCTCATAACCACAGCCCATTTAGGAAATCCTTACATCTTTTTTTTCACTTCCTCAGTATCCAATTTCTATTTCACCACAAGTAGGGTCCATGCACTTTCACAAACATTTCCTTCTGTTTAGAAACATTGTTGTATGATCCAATAATTTCCTATTTGAAGAGAAAGGAACAGCTTTTCAAGAAATTAAGAAAATAAACGAAGATGTCAACAGTTGTTTTAGTAGGTACAGTAGAGATTTATTACTCACGGCGTTTTCTTTTGTTCTTTTTCCACATCAACAGATGTGGAAGGTTTTGACCATGTAAAATTCAGCCAAAAGCTTCCTAAATCCTTTCAAATTTTCAAAGTTCATCAGGAGCTAGCAGAAATTCTGACAGGATGTAGTTAAAAGCAAAAGCAGAATTCTACATAATTCTGGGACATAAAACTAATGGAAGACTTGATTGTCCTCACAAGTATTTCCAATTATTCCCTTCCACTAAGTGAAACCTCAGGGCTCTAACACATGGTAATGTTTGCTACCACAGAACAAATGCATACTTGACATCATTGAAATATTTCACTTTTTAAATAAAAGTCATTTTAAAACTTTCAATGTCACTTTATTTTCATTGAGGAAAATATAACATTTAAAAAATCCTGCTTGAATAAGAAACACTTTCAAACATAAATTAAGAAAAAACTTTTAAACTGCACGTTTCTTGCAGCAAGGGCAGCTCTTCCGTAAAACACATTCTTACAGATTTACAAAAGCAGTCTGACAGGATAGTTCAAAAGCTTTCAAGTCTTGTCTTTTTTATTTCTGGCATTCATTAAAGAAAAACTCACCAAAAAAATCTTTCCTTTGAACCCACCATCTGCTTGGTTCCATAGAGGGCCCAAGGTAAAGTGCTCAGCAGCAGAACTGGCAGTGTCAGATACAAACTTGAACTTTTTCTACTCCAGTGCATTTTGTTGGTTCTTGAGGTATATCCTACCTAAAAAACAAACTCCAGTTTTTCTTCTATGTTCACCATCCCTTTGGTCACATGAAGTTATTCAGTCAGGCTGATTTTTTTACCCCCCAATAAAATATTATTTTGCAATCATAGAATGGTTGGAAGGGACCTTAAAGATCATCTTGTTCCAAACCCCCTGCCATGGGCAGGGACACATTCCATGAGACCAGGGTGATCAGGGCTCCATCCAACCTGGCCTTACATGTAAGTTTTATGGTTCTCTTCCAAAACCATAGCTTGGGTGAAAACATGCACATGTTCTTCACCTGTATTTTTGAAGAACTGAGGTACATGATAATTTGCTGTACAATGCTCCTTCTAAAAATGTGGGAAGACCAAATATTCAGAGTGTTCATGATTAAAGGAGGTATTTTTTACAAAGAAGTCGTTACAGGCCTGACAGTTGGTACCAGTGAAAAACAGCTGGGCTAAAAGCATCTTGTTATTCCATTTAAAACTGAGAAGAGCAAGTGATGAGGCATTCTCCTTGGCTTCCCGATGTTTCTTGAAAAGACAGTGTCAGAATTCCACACTACCTTTTCATCACAGTTGTAAAGGAAACCTATAAGAAAATGTGCAATACAGAGAAAAAAGCTATTTCATCAGGGTTTTTTTGTAAAGAAGAAATTAAAGTGAATCAGACAAAAAAATATTTAGAAACTAAGAAACCAAAATGCAAGCTTTTCATCTGAAACACCCTTTAAAAAAAAATCAAAATCTTTAAAACTCATAAATCCTATCACTTCAGTAACTAGAGAACATAGTTAAACTTTTAGAAAAATACACTGACATCCAGATCAGCTGTTGTTACACGTCTTTTAGAAACCACTAGCCCAAAGTGAGGCAGACTGCCTGAAACCCTCACGAGCTAAACCCCTGAAAGTTTTAAGTCCAGTCTTTAGAAATGCCCATATTGTTGAAGGTTAAATTCAGACATTAATTTCTCCCACTGATAAGAAAAATATTACTGCAATTTCCAGATTCTTGAAGCTGTCCTAAAGAATCTAAATTGTTTGTTTCTTTGATTCTGTTTCAATAAATAATATAAAGAAACATAAGTTTGAATAGATTCCTTTTGATGGCCTTGCAACATTTTGTTCTCAAAACAATGGTAACAAAGGCCCTTCATTACATAGTTCAGCTCCTAAATATTAAAGTAACAGGAACCATATGGAAAGTACACACAGGTCTGTGCCCACTTTGTGAAGCACACAAAATCCATACAGTTTGTGTGGTTTTAAGAAAAAAATGTAATCACTGGTCAACATGATCCACACTCAGAAAACGAGTAAGCCAATTCTAAATTCAGGTGAAGAGTTTTTCCTACAATTTTTGTTTTGTTCAAACCTCAAAGGGAAAGACCCAAGTATCTAGATGGTCTGGTTCCACCTAATAAGCAGAGTGTTATCAAAGACATGTTTTGATCCACTAACCAAATCATGTTCAAGCCACTGTTAAAATAATACTTTATTTTTTAATTAAAAACATTTTAACCAAGGTTCTCCTCTGTACCCAGTAAAAACACCAGAAGTATTAGTTACTCAGTATTCACATCCAACCCTTTGATACTACATGCCTATCTGATCAAACAAAACAAAACCAGAATCTGAATTAGATGTCATCAACTTGATCAAAACAACTTGCACTCCAGGAGGGATTATAATGGTGTGATACTGTATAGGCTGACTGTAGGGAAACAAATAAAAGCCTTATCTTCTCATTTTGCTGTGCTTTCCTAAGCCTTTACAACACTATAACATCATTAGAATTTCAAAATCGCAATACAGAGGATACCAAATATCAAAACCAATTAGATGGAGAAAGGATACTATGTTTTAACTTGTACAGTTAAAACAAGCAGATCTGTGGTGACACCAAGAATGAATACATCAAAATATATCACTTACCTCTTGTAATACTTGTCCAAGTGTCTCCTGGCTGTGAATGCGCTTCCTGTTGAAAACCCAAACCACACTTATTTCTGCACAAAGCATTGGGAATGTTGCAAATATCAAGTATTTATCCCACTTCAAAAAGAGAAGTTGTATCAGGCTTCATTGCACATCCTTTCCCTTAGCAAATCTTTCTGCAACTCTATTGAGTCTTACTGCAGTCTCATGGAATTTACAATTCTGATTCAGAGCTGTTGTCATTCACATCATAGTTAGGAACTACCTGGAATAAGGGTGGCTACTTATTGCATTTTCTCAAAAACAACTCTGAAGTTTAAAAGGCATTGGTAACTTTCAGCATAAATCCTAACACTGATGATTAATTACTTAAGTAATTAATTACTTAAGTGTCATCTCCTCCAGCAAGAGACATCTGATAGTTACCAAGTGATGCAAGAAGATTTAACAAATACTACCTTCTTAAGTCATTCTTCCAACATAAACAAAGTGTAAGCAGTGGCAAGCATTTTGCTTCTACATATAGCACTAAGCAGGCAAACAACAGAAATACAAAGACTTCACAAAAAGTTTCCATCAAGAGAATATGTTACTGCCTGTTGAAAATATGCAGTCATTTCCATGCATCCTGTAATACATGCACTAAAAAGACTAGAAAAGCAAATAAAAGGCAACATAATTTTACCTGTCTATTTTGGTTGCTATGACCACTGTAAAATTGCCTTCTGTATTGGGCAAGTATGTAGAAGGTATAATGACATAACTTCCTGCAGGAAGCCTGCAAAGTCTGCTGACTTCCTGGGAATAGCAGTGAGGAACACAGCTCACCAGTGGCTCCAAGTGTACAAAAGAAGTAGTTTGTGGTTTCCAGCTGCTGTTAGGCACCTGCAAAAAAGAATGCAAACATGCCTACTGTTTCATCTGTTTCAGTCTCACAAAGTTTCATTCCTAGGACACCACACTGTGATATGGTCCATCTTTATTCCAAATACTCACTCTGCTGTACAGAGCTAGTGAGAAGAGGAATGGAAAAGCTTCCAGAAAACCCAGATGGCAGTATTAAGAACAGATGAATCATTCCTAGCCTGTTTGTAAACAATGCATAGAACCCACTACACACATAGCTCTGTTTTCTAACCTCACTCTTCCCTGCTGCAGCCTAAAGCACTTGTTTTCTGCCTCAGGGATCTGATGAACAGACTGTGTCCTTCCTATATCTAGTAGTCATTCCTGTACTAAAAAGTCTTATTAGACTTCATCTCAGTCTCCTATAGGAATATACAAAATGCCAATCTTCCTTCACATATTGTGTACTTGAAGTTTTATGATTACTTCTGGTGGCCAACTCCAGACTTTTCACTTAAACAACACCTTTTTTTTGAAGCATGTTTTCTAAAAATAAAGCTACCTTTCTCTGCTAAATATTACTTAAGCAGTAGCTTCTCTGGTTACATTTATGCAGTTGAACACTGGCACACACATGTTGAATCTGTATCTATCCATATCAAATCAAATCTTGTTTTGTTTGTGATCACCTGCTCAAGATATCACAGTCCTTTTGATCCAATATCATTTGCCTATGGACATTTAATTATTAGACACAAAGAAAGTAAGTTTTTGTGATGAATTACCAAAAGGTCTGGTCCTCAATTACATCAAGAATTCTTTACAAATCCTCAAAAGAGTTCATCATTGCTAAAACTAATTAAGAACCTTGTATGAATTCAGTGGAACCAATTATCTGGTTACTATGCTATGTAACTACCTAAGTTATTCCATATCTTTCATGGGCATTACTTCCCAGAGTCAGTCTGTGTTTCTCCCAGAAGCAGCAAGTCCCTTGCAAACTGCAAGGAGCCCTGTGCTGCCAGGCTAACCTTCACCCCTGGCAAACAAGCAATCTTACTGACCAGAAGCCTTACCTGGAAAATATGGAAACCTATTGGACAACACTTGCTATCCAGGCAGTGCTGACGGAGGGTGACTTTCACACTGCTTTTCTCTGGTCCTGCAGGAATGGAGAGGGGAAAGCAGGGATTGGTATGGAAGGAGGGGAAGTTCCTGCTACCTCCAGCATTTAGCCCATTCTTCCAGCATCCATGCAGCTGCACTGTCTCCCATTCACCAGCTGGGAGTTCTTCACAGAGGGCAGCATCCATGGGTGGTGGCTTTAGTTCACTATCAAACATAAGGGAGAAAAGAAACAAAAATGTATAAAACACATACTACCAGAATATAAACAAGTCTGACCAGCTTTTAAACAGCTGCCAACACTACATTTTGCCTCTACATATAGCACTAAGCTGCAGTTTAGAGTAAAGATGCTACTTCTTGTTAGTATTTCAACAAGAGGTAATAGCAGTTTCATGACAAAAACAAGGAGCTGGGAAACTTGCATGGATTCAAAGACAATACAATGCTGTTATACAGCACTCTGCACAATTCTTCAAAATATTTTGAACATTTCCACTTAGTGCTATACTTGTATTTATGTCAACAATTTTAAGAACTATTCTGTTTTGTTTTAAACCTACCTGAGAGAGATCCTTCCCGATGAAAATACTCGAAGCAAGAAATTCCCTACTGCATCTTTCAGAAAAGTGCTGGGAACAACAAGATAAAAGCCAGGTGAAAGGTCACAGCACACATGGACTTCTCTATCGTAGGAATGGCAGACGGTACCTACAACTGGAGGAGCAGAGAGGGTCTTTGGAAGGTTAAATCGTTTCTTCTCCACCTAGAATAGATGCATAATGATGTGTGGTGGTTTAGGAAAAATGAGTAGCTTGTAATAAAACTAAAAACTATCAAATATTGTTCAAAACATTTTTAAACATGCATAAGTTTACAAATGAAACAAAGGCAAGAGTATGAGCAGATGACCTGAACATCAAAGAGAAGCAGGAAGAGTTAATATTCAGGAGTAAATTTAGGAATGGCTGCAAGTAATCAGCCCAAAATGTCATGCACTAGTTTGGAACAATCCCAAGTGCTCAGTGATAAGAAGAAAGTACTAGTCCAGTAATAGTTTGTACAGACAGTAACTGTGAGATAAACAGAACCATTCCAGCATAAACCAGAGACAGAAAATTTGCAACCAGTTGAATCGTATCACTGGCATGGGAAATGAATAATTTTACTCAAATGTTTCAGTAATGCTTTTAAACTTCTATTTGCAAAGAGAAAAAATGTCACTTTTGTATTACCTTCCAGACATGCAATCCCACAGCCTGGTAATTCTTTCCCTGTATGCCTTCAGTCAAAGATGGATTTTCCTCTGCTAGGCGGGTTGGATTTTGAATCCTTCCAGCCCAGTCAGTGCTGTATTTCCTGTGTTTCTGCAGCAGAGCAATGCACACCTCACTCGACTCACAGACCCTCAGCCAGAACTTGGGGTTGGTAGGGAAGCTGCTGTTGTTGCGGCAGCCACCTGCAGACTGGCCTCTCACCCAGGATCCAAAGAGATTCTGAGAGTGATACAGCACTCTCTCTAAAAGAAATAAGAAAACAAAATAAGAAATGGGAGGATTTCAGACATGGAAAGCTACTTAATTTTACACAACAGGTATATGGCAGAGATTCCCCAGCCCAAGAAAACATGCTGTGATAGCCTGACACTTCCCCAATGCAAAAATTCACGACCAAGATTTTGAGAAGCATAAAAATTAATGCCACAGTTGACAATAACAGACTGATGACATAATTTTTACAATAAACTGTTACTAGAAATCTCAAGTATATATACCATTAAAAACAAAACATCACAGGGCTGTCCAGAATAACAGCCTTCTAGACAGATTACACTAATCTCTCAACCAACTAGCAAGTAACTAGATTTCCTAGAAATAACAATGGTTTCTCTAAAGATCTTTAATTCCTCTTGTCCTTCTGTTTTTTTAGTAGGGACAGAAAAGGCCAATGGATCTACAGAAGAGGGGAAAACTGAGAAAGAGAAATTATGGTCTAGTTGTACCCATTTGCAACTCAAATAAATTCTTCCCCTTGACATAATGTTATTTGCATAAGAAAAATGCCTTCTCATATCATACCTGTATAGAGGCTCTGAAGTTGTCCTTCCTCGTTGACTGGAAAGCCCACAGTAATCTCATCAAATTCCCTGAAAAATTCCTCTTCATCAACCCAGAATTCTCCTTCTTGGATCTGTGAGAGGAGTTGTGAAGCAACTACTGGATCTAGCTGGTTCCATCCTTGACCACTGCACAAAAGACAGAAGTTAACATTCAGCTCTTTGCCTAGCAGAGTTCAAGAACAACGTTCTACCAAATATCTTATGGAGCACGACAGCAAGAGATTTCTTCATTTTATTGCGAAATAATTGCATTGAAAATTTCTCTGCACATTGCTGGTCAGTGAGAGGGATCATAGGAAACACAAGTCATAACTTATCAAAGAAAACCTAGAAACGGCCTAATACTACACTGGATGCAGAACAGACTTTTGGGTGAAATAGGTGCTTTGTTTACAACAGCTACTACAGTAAGAAGTCTGAGAGCAAAATAAACATTTTTAACTGTTGTTTAAAAATGAGGCAAAAATGTAAAACAAGCTGCATTGTCATTGTTCTGAAAGAATTTTAATGCTTTACAACAAAAACTGACATTTGTATTAAGCAACTTACTACCCTCATGAATCTGCTTGCCAAGTCTTGATAAACCAAAAATTTCAATGCCTCATTATAAACTAGTAGTTTCAACTTTTTTCATTGTTTCACTAGCAAAAAAAGAACAGTTCTGCACTTGAATAAAACAGGATTTTAAGGCCAACCAATGAAATCCCATCCTCTTGCAACTATATGGCAACTTACTCTGACAAAGAAACTACAAGAGACCAAGTGTATAACCAAAACACTCTCAAAAGAAAAACTATCTGCTAAAGTCTCAATAAATGCAATTAAATTATCTTTTTAACTCAAGGAAGAAAAATATTTCTACAAAAATGTTCATGAACATCACCATATTGCTAACATATTTTAATGCTGAATGCTTGTTGCTTAGGTCAAGAATTGCATGTTCTTTTGTATAGTCAAAACATGCTAACATTTTCCAAAATAAGCAAATAGGGTCAGCCCTTTCATTCTTGTTACTTTTCTATTTGAGCTGCTACACATATTTCTGCAAGTCCTTTACAACAGTTCTCTTCTTTATTTCTACTTTATATGGACTCAGATCCAGCTACTCCTACTTCAATCTACAGAAATGTGATCACACAAGCAACAAGCATAAGCATCCTTCCTTCTGCTATAGTTTTATAATTACTCCTTTGCTTGTTTTCTGCAGCTGAGCCAGGAACAAATGAGGAGAGGCAAGTAAAGCTGAATGACTGCAAGAAACAAACATGATCAAAGATACTTAGATCAACGGCAGAACAACAAAGAAGCACCAAAATCAGAAAGTTAGGCAACACCTTCAGCCTGTCTCTATAAAAAGATATGATGATTTGATAAACAAAAAAAAGTTATTAAAAAATTTAGATTGCAAGAACTAGGAGATGAAATTTACTAGACTCAGAAGCAATGAGCTGTGTAAACTCCCAGCTCTCTAAAGAATTGCACACACACTGAAGCCTCTTCTCCTCTGCTGGAGGCTATTAGCAGTGTTTGCCTATGCAATACATAGATAAGTGGTTTTCCACAATGGTTTTCCAAATGAACATAAAACTGCTCACCCCTCACACCAAGGCCCTTTCCAGCACCGCCTCCCCCAAGGATTTCGTATTCGTAGCAGGAAGATTTCCTTGCCTGACACTTCAGAAAGATTCAATGTGTCTATCACAATAAAGGCATGAAATTCTCCTAGTTCACTTGCACCTGAATAGAAAAAAAATACCATTTGAAAATAAATAAAAGAATCTGTTCCATACTTTACAATAACATTAGTGAAAGAAAGCAATTTTGCAATAAAATGAAACTGGTTTTAAATCTGTATTAGAACAGCACAAAGAAACCCCAATCAGTTCATTTTAGTGACTATAAAGAAATAAAGCAACATTGCAAAGTGTATTAACTTGCTCCTTAATCTCAAGTCCCTACAAATTCACTGTGCTAAAATTAATTGAGGTTTTCAAGGTTGTTTTTGAGATGCTTTTTCGAGGGAGTGCATTTTGGGGAGGATGCATTTGTTTTTGAGAACTGACCATATTAGCATCTAATATAAAAAGCACTACTCCAAAGCAGGCCCCATCCTGAACTCATTAGCATCATTAAATCTTCATTTATCCAAACATTTCAAATTGTGCCATGAAACTGGCATGGTACTAGAATCAGCTCTTGTATTTGTTGGCTGCCTTGTGCTTTGAAGCCTGTTAACACAGACATTTGCTATCACCTTGTCTGGAGTTGAGGACTGAACAGCTTATTACACACTGTTCCTTCAGATTCATCAATCTTCTAAACACTGCCTTCTCCAAGACCATGCCAGTCTTCCCTTTCTCCACATTTTTTCCAGGGTCTTTCAGGGTCCATCTTTCAGCAATTCCTCCAGTCAGATCAACCAAAGCATCTGCCACTTGTCCTGCCCACAACTGCTCATAAGATCCATGCACTCTAAAAAATTTAAACAAAAAAATTAGAAAAAGCATGAAGAAAAAGTTTTTACACACAGCAGAACAAAAGAAACACTATTCCTACAGACTTGCAACCCCACTCTGTTATCACAGTAATGACTGTGCCCGACCTCATGACCCAAAGTAGGCAAGAGAAAGCACATACTATTGTATTTATATAGAACACAACAACTAAAGAATATGTAAGCCATTGGATATTCCACTGCTTGATGGGAAGTTTCTTACATTCTCTCTATTCAAAAAACCATTGCCTAGTACTAGTCATTTGTACCCTATTATCTATGCTCTACATTATCTTTTGTGATATACAAACAGCATTCTGTATAAGTAAAAATATTTCTTCCTGTTTAATTATTCTTTATTCACTCTGCACAAATAACTAGAGCAGCACTTCCCTCAACAACCTAAGCAAAGCAAGAGACTGCCCCACCTGATGTAGCAGATGCAAAAATATAGCAGAAGAAGTCAAGACTAAAATAGAATTTTAAGACTGAACAATAAGAGCTCTGCAGGCAACAAATATTACATTTCAAACCTACAGAGAAGTTTTAACACGGCATTAGTGCTTCACAGCTTCTGTTCAACCTACAGTGAAATTACTACATAATTGAAGTCTGCCTCTGCCCTCTGCTGGCAATCATAAAATCTTCTGCTCAGATTCTTTGGGACATTAGATGTTTATCTTACCAGTGCATTTTGTCTCCAAATTGCTTTGTCTATTTGAACAGCTTTTCTGCTGATGTGCCATAAACCACTAAATAGCTGCATTTTCTTTCTAAAACAGTAAACTAACAAATTATACAAAAGTGCAGTGAAACTCACACAACCAAAGCTTCAACTAGCACAAACTCACTAAATGTTGTTGCTTTCTATGAAAACATCTGCATGCTTTCTGCTTTTCATTGAGCTCTCATCTTCCCTAGTAAAACATCTTCCTCTAACAAATTAGATAACTAATGGACAGAGACTTAACAAACATCACTTGAATCCTGAAAATTCATTGCAGCTTACTTTTCAACAGAATTATTTCCCTAAGACTATCTTACTTCAGATGCAACTGGAAGCACACCTTACAGACCTACAGTTTAAAGAGCAAGTTCTGCACAAGCCAGGATGGGACCATCAGCAGCCACAATGCTCAGATCCGTACCCAAAGCAGCTGGGTAAAATAAGCAAGCAGAAGAAATACACCAATATTGTAGTTCTATTTCCATCAACAGCAGCGTTCACATACTTTGCATAAGCTTTTTCCAGTAGTGGAAGCCAAAACAAATCCTCTGTCTGACACTGGGAAAAGCAGAGTTTGCCCCCAAGGCAAGGCAGGCGATCATCAATGGTCACTTCTACCCAGTGGCCAAACTGCCAGACCCGGCACGTGAAGCAGCCTTGATAGGATTCATCTGTCCAGCTGGGCTGACCTGGAGGGATCACCTGCAGGGCAAAAGCCAAAATCAAGGCAAACAATGAATTAACGAATTTCAATTTTTGCAAACAAAACTAGTTTAAAATATACTGAATTTGTATCAGCCATTTGGAACAAACACAGAAAAAATATGATAATAAAAGCAGTGAATCTGAGCATAATGAAGGCACAACACTCGTATGGCAGCCTGGGACTGCAGAACAATACACAAATGTCAATTAGGTGAAGAAAAATTTCTCTAAGAAGAAACTTGTCCATACCTTGTTCAGTAAGTATTTGCTCTTCTGCAAAGCTACACAGGCACACAGGAACCAACAGTCTCCCAGAATTCCTTGTTTCACTTGTACATCCTGCAGATTGTTTGAAAATAACCGAGGAGAGGAACATATGTCCTAAAATGAAAGAAAAGGAGTTAAAGCCAAATCCTACATGACATTCTAAGGAAGTCTGTGTTTCAGGGACTGGGAAGGCTTCAGAGATCTCTCATAAAATAAGGGAATTTTTACTTCTAGAAAATTTCCTTTTCATACACAGCCTAAGTAAGAAGTAACAAATAAATGGCTTGTGGCAGTATTTTGCAGGTACTTCATGAATGTAAACCTAGTTCCCACATTAATTTTAGCACACAACTGTCACCATCAGATGTGACCTTACCAAAAGCAGTAACAAGTGAAAGACAACATAATTCATCAGCTCCTTGCTAGACTTATGATCAACTGTGACAGGGCTGATGCTATCCACATTAAACTGCACATCCCAAGTTACACAATTCTCACAATTAGAACAAGGGAAAAACCTTTCCTAGGGCACAGAAAAATACATTAATTGGTAGCACAAGAGGAAATTTCAGATGCAAAATCCTGAACACTTAATCTGATCTGAAAGTGAGTTTGTGAAATGGTTCTCCTTACATGTAAATACTGCAAGAGATGGAAATTAACTCATCAGCCCTCAGCAGCAATTGAGGTGCAAAGTACAAAAGCAGGAAGCTGCACACTTGACTCCATGAAATCATTTGGTTGCCAATTACACCTGATAACCAAGAGTTCTGTCACTGTCCCACAGACAGCCCCATACACTGGGTAAAAAAATACAACTCAAGACAACATGCTTTTTTCCTCCATTACATTTTTATAGCCTTTGTTCCCCTTCTACACAAAGGCAGTATCATAAATACTTCACCTTAAATGGGTGTACTGCAGAAATGCATTCTAGTGCTTTTAGCTCTAATACAGCTTGCTCTGCAACCCAGCTATAAGTTGAAAAGCAATACAAGTCATATGACAAGTTATAAACTTTAAAAGTTTCCTTTCTTGTTAAAGAAGAAAGCAATCACAAAAAAAAAGGAATAGGCTTCAAAAAATTGTAAAATACAACTACTTATTTTCAAGATCATTATGCAATATATAAAAAATTTTGAAATTACATAATACTGTATTCTAACTTGGTATGCATGTAATTTGCATAATGAAACATATTTATAATAAAATATCTGAATTTCTCCTACTGCCATGAAATTTAAAAACTCTACAAGAGGTTTTAAATCAAGCCTACAAACAAGCTCCTAGACTAAAACTGTAACTCGTGTATTGTTAACACTGACAAACACTGGTTTTATCACTTCTGTATTTCCAAACAAATAAGCAAAAGCAGTAATTCAATGCTAACTTGCATTTACTACCTAAAAGCCAAATTCTGCTAAAATCAGCCTTTTATACCTTAAAACTCACCTTAGGTCTCAACCAAGATATCTCTCCTCTGAATTGGGCAAGCGGGGTACAATAATTAAAAAATATGGAGGTATCACTGGCCGGGAACGCGGGGTCTGTGTAAAGGTCTCTTGCCACCATTAACTGCTTTTTTTCTCCCAGCATTTTCAACACAGCCCTAAGCAGCTTTGCCGGCTATTCCTACGACTTTAAATCGCCCGGCACCAACCTGCAACAGAAGCGAGTATTACCGGGGAATTGCAACAGGGAAACAAACAGGCATGGCGGATTTATTTAGGGATGGACAGCCTCCCGCTGTAACACGGGGCAGCTGGAACCACCGCAGTGTTGCTTCTTGCAGCACCTGAAGCCACCCTACACCGCCCAGCTGGAGAGAAGGGGGCCCATGAGGAGACCTACAGCCGCTCAGGTCCCTTACCCGGCTCTGCGCGCACCCTCCACACAAAGCTACCCCCGCCCCACCCGTTTCCTCACACCCAGCCCGAACAGGGCCCCTCCGCACACGTCGCCTCCTGCCCACCAGCCCCCCGTCCCCACAAGAGGTGCCGGCCCGGCCGCCCCCGCTCCCGGTCCCCCCTCACCGCGGGGCGGTCCCGCCGCCATTGCCCGGGGCGGCCGTAACCCGGCAACGCCGGCACGCGCGGCCCCGCCCGTCTCGAGCATGACTGACGGTGCCGCCGACCAATCAGCAGACGGTACCTGCGCGCGCACCACGCGTTGGCCCCGCCCCCCGGCTGAGGGGAGCAGAGGAGTCCCCGGGATGCGCGAGGTTCCCTGGCCGGGAATACCCGGGGGAAACGGGAAATTGCAAACTGCTTGTGTGAGGTACGGGCTCCTACGGGCGGAAGAAAACTAATCCAAAGTGTTTTCATGAAGATTGTGATGGAGAAACCCAGAGAAATTGCGGGCTCTCATCGAGTGCTTTCCTAACCTCATGGCACAGATCACATTTTCGCATAGTTTAGCACCATATAGTCGTCCACGGGCTGAACCGTCAAAGGTGATATGTTAATTTCCGTATTCTGATAGCTACCGCTGACTAGTGAAATAGAAAAAGTGCCTTAAGAATACTGCCTAGCTCAGGAACAAAGAACAGAAATGCAGAAATAAGGGCCGAACGAGGCCGTCCTTCAGCACACCAGGGTTTTGGGTTTCAGGGCACATGAAGGAGGCTGCTGTCTCTTTCCTGTTTGGGCCTTTCACATCAGTGTTTCTCAAGGAGCTCAGGTGTGGTCAATACAGAAGCTGCTGAGCCACTGTGGAAGGACGACGTGTTTACCAAAAAATCTGCCATCACACTTGCCTGTGATGAAGTGTTTGACTCTAAGGTCACCTAGTCCTTGGGTAGAGAGGTCATCTAAAGGAGAGACCACAGAAAGCACAGGCCTGACTGGTTTTTATCAGACGTTAATGCAGAAATCCTCCCCTCGAGCCAACCCTAGCGGGTGGAAATGCTCTCAGGTAACTGCAGCAGCCGTCTATCACCCTGACATTCAGAAATAGCTTCTCTGCCCCCTGGCCATGCCCGTTGTACAGACACAAGGCTTCTCCCCTGCACACTGCAAATTTAATCAATAAACAAGACTTTTCACGTTGGAGTTTTGACCCTTTTGGGAGCAGAGGAAACATTGCTGGCAGTAAGAATAACCCTCTTGTCCACGGCTCATGCGAGGGAGCTGCAGCTGCACGGCTGTGAGTGAGCAACACAGGAGAGCTCTGTTGGGGGAGGGAAAGGGGAAGAAAAGGCCTCTGTGTCAGGAACAGTGAGGCTCTGATCTGTGTGATTTCACCCCTGCATTCTTTAGGAAAAAGCAATCACACAACTGCATAAATTCCATTAGAGGACCGATTCTAGAAATCAGGATAAATGTTGAGCTCTAACTGTAAATACAGGAGGTCCAGCCTGCAAAAATTAATTAGTTAAATACCTAACTATTTATTTCTGAAGCTATTAGAAGAAGGAAAGGGATTGCTATTATCTTGGTCTCTCAGATACCTGACATGCTTTCTCTGCCCCACTGCAAGGTTGGAAAGGGGCAAATTAATACAGTATACAACTGATGATTTTTTTTTTTTTTTTCTGTTAGCCTGAAACTCTTTGGAAATAGAGAAGCAGAGAACTTTCCCTGTTACCTCTTGGCAGCCCTGCTGGATTAAACTGTTCCTGAAAACACCGGTCTTTTTTGACAAATGTCTTGAAGATAGTATTTTAAGACAAAATTATATTTGCCTTGTTGTCAACTTGTTTCTCAGTGCACTTTAATGTAGGTGCTTAATTTCTCATTGGAAAAGAAGAAAAAAGACTGAGAGGCGTTGAGTCCCATTGCTATAGAAATTTAAAAGGGATTTGTGTCCAGCTTAATAACCAGCTCATTTCCCATTTCACATTTTAATGTGAATTAAGATGATCCTTTAGAATAGTGTTTGATATTTTCATGGTTGTTTGTCAGTTTTTGGGTTTCATCAATCCCATGTTTGCTTTTTTCCCCAGCTCCCAGTGGTTCAAGGACAGGGAGAGAAGTAAAAGTAATTGAACAGCAGTGCCTGGGCCCAATGTGTGTGTTTGTTTCTGCAAACACTGACACATGGAAGCTGTTTGCAAGGGAGCTCTTCCACTTCTCTGAATCCTGATACCAGGATTAGGAAGGCACAGCAATACTCAGCTGACAGTGATCAGAGCTGTATCAAAGGAACAGCACAGTCTTTTTGCTTAAGGGAGATTTTGGAGTGGGTATTTGGGGTTATAGACCTCTCTCACTACTTCAGACACACACAGAGGTAAAGCACAGCTCCAAATTTTCAGCCTGGCTACCACAGCACACAAGATGTTTCACCTCAGTAAACATGATTTTGGAAAAGGGTCTAGTGCTCTGCAAACCTCACTAATGCCATTCCATTTTTAGAGAAAGGCTTGTCTCTAGTATATTAGAACACCTTCCTTGTTGGGCACAGAGCATATTATGTTCAACATAATCATAATTCTCTGGACAAGAAATCAGAGGTCTACCACCTGAGTTTTCCAGTGCAGAAGTACATGCAGGAAGAGGACTAAAGGGAAGTGTTCACACAGGCTCAATCATTTATTGCAGCTAGCTAGTATCCCTCTGTATAGAGTGAAAAGTCACCTCCTGAATATGGAATAGCTTTACCCTCCTTTATCTTGAAAAGGTTCTTATGTCCAGGTAAGAGATATGCTAACAAGTGTCCAAATTACTACTGTTATTAATGGAAAAAACAGGATGAGTAGACAGTATTAGTAAAAAATTCTTTTAAAGTTGATGTGGAATATACAGCAGCAATTGAGGTAATTTTTGAGAAACAATGTGCAATTTCCACTTTAAAATTATATTGAAACATCATGCTCCACCCAAGCAAAATCAATACATGAAGTTGTGGAAGACACCTTGCAGCAACAGACCAATCAATCTGTTTTCTATAAAAATTAAAAAGTACTTACATGACAAAGAGGTAAGTAGTTTATATGTGAGTAAGTAGTTTAACTTTCACAAAAAAAGCAGTAGTTTCCAGAGCTGGAAGATAAAAGTAGACAAATCCAAACTAGACATTATGTATGCATTTCAGGAATGCATGTAATCAAGAGCTAAACCAATTCACTTGGGACTTCAACAAAATCAGTGTAAAACTGTGTCCTCACAACTGTGTCTCAGAGGACAGTGGCTTGATAAATCTCACACAGTGATTTCTAGTATGGTTTCTCTTATACACCAAGTCTGATATTGTGGTCAAAGTGGCTTTCAGCTTTTATCAATCTGTAGTAAAAAATGTGAAAAGAAGTGTGACGTGATTTTAGTGTATTGACTGTACAAACAGGGAGAGCAGACTGAAGAAGTGTACTTGACCTAAGTGAATTGTGCAGCACATGAGCTTAGATGTACAGAAGGTCCTGTGTTATCAAAAAAAGGTAATGGCAAGGTCACTGCAGTGCAAGAACATAAAAGAGTTTTGGTTGAACCAGAATGTTTGGGATGCTTGATACAATTGTTCTTGGTTGATGGAGTTCATGGTTAAAATGTTGCAATGTAACAGGACACCAAAATTACTGATACAAGCTTCACACATTGTAGCTAACAAGAATTATATTGAATGTATCAACCAACATGGCTATGAAATGCTAAAAAATTAAGTCACAAATATTCCATTCTGTTAAACAGTTTGGCTCTTCAGAGCTTTCCCACAAGTGATATTTCTAGATCCTCTGTTGCCCTGCTCAAAGCTGCAATGAAATAAAGTAATAGTTTTCATTTTCAAAATAAAAAATGATAATGCAATCTCTTGGCATCTGTTTGAATAAAACCACAATTTGATGTCTAATCTGACTCAAACGGATCAGAAATGAATGTACCAAAGATAAGGCAAATAGTTTCTATTTGATCACAGTCTAATTTGCCTGTCAATGTGAAGTCTACTGCAAATCAAGAGAGCAAGTAGCCTGAAGCACCAATTTATTTTCTGTCAACTAAAGGAAGGCTTATCTCCACAAACTTGCTGCCAGGTTTTTGTCTCTACAAAACAAAAAATGGACTCCTCCCTCACAGGAGAAACAGAAGTACCTGGAGGTGGATGCATGGAATACATTCCAAAAATCTTGCTCTGCTTCAGTGTTTCAGAAAACAAGTCCTAGGTCAAAAGCCATTTGATGGGATCTCACAGAGATGAGAGCAGAAACGCTAACATACATCTTGTGTTCTTTAACCAGGAAACTGTTCAGTTCAGCCAGCATTTCCTTGCAATGATGGGTGTCTGTGCAAACACAGAGCTGGGCTGATGTATTTCAGTCAGTTGTAGTAACAAGAGATAATATTTATTTTTGATTGTTTGCTTTTGCCACCTCTCCAGCACCTTCCTGTGTGGCTTTCAAAGAGCTTCCAAACTCCCTCTATGCTGCACCCCAGAAAAGAACAAAACAAAGACAATGTACCAAGTTAGCTCTTAGAGCAGGGACGCCAAAAAAATGCCCAAAAGGCTGAACTTGTCACAAAGCTTAGTTTAATTTGACAATCATCATAAGGCATCCATGTAAATGAAAAATTCCCACCAGGGTAACAAACATTCTCCCACTAAATAAAATATGTTAGAACAGAGGCCCGTGATTCCAAAAAAATGCTAGTGGTTCCTGGTCTCAACCAGGCTGCCGCTGCTGGCAGTGGGGTCCAGGAGACACAGCACCAACAGCGGCAGCTCCAGAAGTGTAAAGTCAGCTTGTACAAATCTCTTTCAATAAAACAACAAATGAAAAGGAAAGAGATTTGTGTAGAAAACATCATTCTCCATCCTTTCTGGGAAAACAAAACAGAATTTAAAAGATAATCCCATTCAAGGAGCAAAGAGCAGAGCTTGGAGTTCTGAAGCCCA